TCCCACACGATCTCCTCAGGTATGCTGAGGATGCTAGGAACAAGATGAGGATGCTAGCAACAAGATGTGGGAGTTGGCGCCCCCTGGCGAGCTGTCGGGTATGTGAATGTTGATGTACTGCCCGCGCGCACGCTCGCCACTACACGACCGTGCCGTCGGCCGCATCGGCGCCCTCTGGCGAGCTGTCGGGTATCTGAATGTTGATGTACTGCACGTCGCCGATGCTGACGCGCTGCGACGAGCGGTGGTTCTCCGACGACAGCAGGAAGCTGCGGATCTCGTCGACGATGTGCTGGAACTGCGGCCGCTCGTTGGGGGCCGTCGCCCAGCATCGCTGCATCAACTCGTGCCTGAGACAAGCGGCGAGACAAAGTCAGCAGTTAGTCGCCATGACAACAAAGCGTGGCGGATGCTGAGGTTGCTAAGATGTGGGAGCGATGGTGCGTAACTCCTCAGGGATGCTGCGGCCGACGGCACGGTCGTGTAGTGGCGAGCGTGCGCGCGGGCAGTACATCAACATTCGGATACCCGACAGCTCGCCAGGGGGCGCCGATGCGGCCGACGGCACGGTCGTGCAGTACATCAACATTCGGATACCCGACAGCTCGCCAGGGGGCGCTGATGCAGCCGACGGCACAGTCATGTAGTGGAGAGCGAGTGAGCGAGCGTTCGCCGGGTGTGGCAGCGGTGTCTGAGAGTGACGCTGCCAGGACGCGTGTAGAAGTCAGGGGAGCATGAGGGTCAGCTTGAAAGAGACTTAGAAGGTTCCTCTCTGTGAAAGGTTCTTCAACGTGGAAAGTTCTCTGTGGCAGGTTCCCTGTGTAGGGAGCAGGCTGTGAAAAGGTTTAACTATGCGGAAGCTTCGTTGCCATGGAAACTGGAAAGAAGCACGAGTGTGTGTTTCCTGCTAGATGCCCTCGATCACTCCAGCATTGTGATACCTACTACTGACAATGCCCACAGCATACAGAGGAAGAGTCCTTTAGCTGGTGTACCAAGAACACATGGAACACACATGGAACACGTGCGGAACACACATGAAACACACGCAGAACACACATGAAATACACGCAGAACTCACGCGGAACATACTTAAACATGTGCCAATGAGAAGACCGCTCATTACAGGCCGACGTCAGCCGGGAGTGACGCGATGACCTTCAACCCTGACCTTTGACCCCTGATAGGGCAAGAATTCCTGTCGCTCGCTGAAGATGACCCGTGGAAATCCGTGCGATACCATGCTGCAGGAGAGGAGGTGACAGACATGGAAGACTCAGTGACGCGGCAGGGTGGAGTTCGTGCGTGCGTACGTGCCGTACGTGTATGTGCTTCGTATGTGTGTGCAGGTGTTCCCCCACTGGCGGGTACTACAGCTTAAAGGCTTGTCCAGTTCGTTTTGGATGTTCTGCCGTGATAGGTGAACGTGTGCGAGTGGAGCTGCTGCCATCGAATGTTTTCTGTTTTATACTATCATATACTATAATAGACTATCGATATGTATGTATAAAACAGAAAACCTTTGATGGCGGCAGCTATAACTAGCACTATAATATTCTATATGACTCAATATGACTATGAGACTATGAGACTATATGACTCATATAGAATCATTATATTCTATTACGGACTCTTGATGCATCTATTATCTATAGCGACAAGACGAGATCGCAATGGAAGGAATTTTTGCAGCAAACCGAATAGCACCGGATGACCGCCCTACGTATGTCTCTTGCCAGGCGCTCGCGCTCGAATTATGATTTTTTTTACGGATGTTTTTATACGCCGCGCATTGTACAGATATGCGGGACAGATTGTGTAACGTTATACTTTTTACATTCGAGACACTGACACTACGGAATGGCTGCGACTGCTAGCTATATCAGAGCAAGGAGCTAAATATAACAAGGAGAGGAAGCGGTTTGGCTGTGCGCTTTTCGCCTCAAGTGCGCCATCTATATGGACCATAATCAGCTGAAACGGCTGTGCAGACCGAACCCAGAGACAATAGAACACTAATCTGTTCTAGGGTCTCTGCCGAACCCAAATTTGGGCCAGATATATGGCGGCGCTTCCTCTCCTTGTTATATTTAGCTCCTTGTATCAGAGTAGAATGAAGCGAAATCCAGCGCCGATAGCCGCACACGTGTCACGTGAATTTATACATTAGAGCGAATCGAGTAATAATGATAACAATGACGTAATAAAAGTAATGAGAACGAAGAGTTTGATTTGTAGATTGTTGTAGTTGGGTAACCATGGCGACCGTGTGTATGCCCCTGGTGAGGGGGCGGTGAGCACATGCTGGAACTTTGTTATTCATGATTGACGCGCTCTCGATCTTGTTGATTTTTTTACTATGCTGTTTTGAATATAGTGGCGCAAAGATTTTTAAGGTTTTGTGTACGTGTTTTTTCGTTCACGCGTATCTCATGTATATGTTTATATACGCGCGTGATGCGAGTATGGATTGTACGTGATATATATGTGTCGCGTGCGTGCGTGCGTTTGAGAAAATAATTTAACACTTCAAGACGCGTTTTTTTACCCATATTGTTCGTGTTAGCGTGTTTCGTACGTTTAGTATTGCTTTGCGGTTTGTCCGGTTATCAGCCGCTTTGTGTTCTTATATTAATTCCCAACAAGCTTCAGATGACGTTCGAATTTTGCTCGCACATCTCTTCGTCTTAAAAGAAGTATAGCGCGACAAACCCACGGGAGCTCGTGGCTAAAAGGAGAAAATCCCCCCCCCCTCACATTACACTACCTTTTATATATTATAGTAAACTAATAAACGAAATGTTTTTGTTGCCACGGCTCCCTGCGGTGCACGATATCCTGTATATGTGGATCGATATGTGGATGTACGGTTTAAGTTTTCATGTCGCGGTCGTGGCATAATGTCCCGGTGCGAGATGTTCAGGTAGGCCAGTGTAGGACACGTTCTGGTCCATCAGAGGTTTTATTTGACGCACCAGTATCGTAATGCGGCATGTCATATTAGGTTCTGTTAGATCTCGTTAGTTAGATCTGTTATCTGTTAGTTAGTTAGTTAGATCTGTTATCTGTTAGATCTTTTAGATCTCGTTAGTTACGCTTATAAAGTCTATGTCTCTCTGGGTACTGCCGGACACTGCGGCTGCTGCATGTTGTCAATAATATCAACAATCAACAATGTCAGCAACAATAACAGCAGTTAGTAGCAACATTAGTAGCAGCAGCAACAACAGCAGTTAGTAGCAACATTAGTAGCAGGAGCAACAACAGCAGTTAGTAGCAACATTAGTAGCAGTTAGTAGCAACATTAGCAGCAGTTAGTAGCAACATTAGCAGCAGATAGTAGCAACATTAGCAGCAGTTAGTAGCAACATTAACAGCAATTAGTAGCAACATTAACAGCAGTTAGTAGCAACATTAACAACAGTTAGTAGCAACATTAGTAGCAGCAGCAGCAAGAACAACAACAGCAGCAACAACAACAACAACAACAACAGCAGTGTCCGGCAGTACTCAGGGAGACATAGACCTTATGAACGTTAGTTACGCGATTCGAAACTGAATCCGGGAGAGTGCACTTATATATATATTATATGTATATATATATATATATATTACTCTGCACACACGAACTAGAGGTGAATCACGATGTCGTTATTTGATACTGAATAGTGTTGTACAGTTTATTGTCATATCAGTTTAGTTGACTATATAACGCCCGAGCAGGGTGTGATGATCACGCGTGATATTCAGAAATCAAAATGCCTAAATGAGGAGTGTATTTTTTGTATGATACTGTACGGTTTAATATACGACGACGAGTTTAAATAAATGATATAATAATGGATGAAAAGAAGTTTGATATCGTATGTATGTTCTTGTTTTATGGCTGTACGTATTTCATTGTAAATATTGCATTTATCATTTATGATTGATATGAACGTACGGCAGAAACGGCACACACGTACACACACACACGAACACGCACACGCACACGCGCACACACACACACACATCTCTCTCTCTCTCTCGCTCTCTCTCTCTCTCTCTCGCAATTTTTCTCTCTTTCTCTGGCGCTATATTATTATATACACATGATATGTGTGTATATATATATATATATACTCGCCTCCCTCCATTTTTCTTCTTCACTTCTTTACTCCACTCTCGCGGATGGTATCGCCCACGACCAGTCAAGCATAGAAAAACGTTTGCGGCAAAATAACCGTATTTCAGCCTCAACTTTTTCTATCCACGTGGCACAAAATATGAATTTAGGCCTACGCCTAAAATACACGCGCACGCGTGCGTGCGACCATGCCCGCGTGTGCGCGTCCGTGGGTGTGTGTGTATGTTTGTTTGTGTGACTGTAAAAACGCGTATTATAGCCGTATAATCATACTTTGTGCTTTGGGGGTGGGGTGAAAAGGTTGAGGCTGAAAACCAGCCATTTGCCTGGCAAACTTTTCACTGTGCAATTAACTGATGCTGTGGGTGATAGGCCTACTATCCGCGAGAGCGGAGGGAAATACTGAGGGGAATGGAGTTAGACGGGAGGAGGAAGGAAATAGGAGAGCACGGGAAGAAGTGCGCGTCCGTTTGTGTGTGCGTATATATGTGTTTTATATGACTGTATATATCCACATTTTGTGCTTTGGGGAGAGTGAAAAAGTTTCGGCTGAAAAATGCATCTTTAGTTCCTATATGAACCTAGAGATGGCGCTTGCACTACTTTATAAAATGGCGTGACATTTGTTACGTTTCAGTGAATTTAAAACATTTAACAAAGAATTAAATCAATTTCTTGCTGTATGATATTCGCTATGAAAAGTGGGGAGGCTTTAGACATTCCATGGTTACGAGGTAAGCTTTCTCCATAGTCCTATGATGAAGTTAGCATTAGTTAATTTAAGGCATGGTACTGCCTAGTACTACTACTAGTACTAAGTAGTAGTACTAGTAGTAGTAGTAGTAGTAGTACTGGCTACTACTGCCGCACTTAGCTAGTAGTAGTAGCAGGAGTAAGATAATATAGGATAATAAGATAATATATCCTATATTATCTTACTCCTGGTAGTAGTAGTATAGACTATAGTCTATAGATACAATAATGTAACCCAAACCCAGGATAGGGTTACAACGCGTCGCTATGGTTTTCTGTGGAGGAAATTCGGGGAACCCCTAAGTGAATCACTCAGGTCGTTTTGCTGGTGCGTTTTCAGAGACTAGAACTTCCACAGCGACGCGTGTAAGCTTAGCTCTAGCCACAGGCACTTGGACCGTTTCAATAATAAAATGATGGTTAATAAATACAACTTGTCAGTACTACTACTAGCCCTACCAGTACCAGTACCAGTAATAGTCTTAATGTTTGATTTGACCTAATAACTTCACTTCAACACCGTCCAATACACCGCTGCAACACATAGCGCGCACGCCCTTGTGCATGCACAAATACACATATAGAGTATAGATATAGATATATATATAGAGTATAGATATAGATATATATATAGAGTATAGCGGAGAGGCGGCTCCTCGTCTGGAACCGGTCGCGTAGCCACGGCCTAATATTTATAAAGAAGCAAGTGTAACGACCTAATGTAATATCGTCTTAGCAACAGTATACGTACGTGTAGGGTGCTAAATTAACGGGAGTCCGGAGTCAAATACTTCCTGATTTACTGTCGGACTCCCTGATTTGACATATGCAGGAGTCCGTGTGACTCCCTGAAAATTTGGCCATACTAACTAGTTCGTTCCAGAGCACGGCCTCGCGGAATTGCCGTATTTTTTCAGCTAATGTCCAAAGAAAATTTGGGAGACGTGCAACCGCATGAATCTTAAAAATAAGCACATGCGTTATTGTTAATATCTTTAATTTTGAACCTTAGACTGCGGACTCCCTCATTTTGCTGCGGACTCCCTCATTTTGCTGTGGACTCCCTCTTTTTGAGGGTAGGGAGTCCGTTGGACTCTCGTTTTCAAAAGTTAATTTCTACCCTTGTACGTGTATGTACATTATGGAGTAGAAACCTCGCTCTGTCCAATGTGGAATTTGTTGATGGTAATGGAGTGCTGCAGTGCTACACATCCGGTGTGTTTTTAATCGATTCCTCTCAAACCATTGGTGGTCAAGCAACAAGCTATAGCTACTAGCTTTTAGCTGGATACTTAACATTAAAGCCACAATATACGCATCTACACGCTAATTTTTCCAGTACTAGACTTTGTGTCATGCATAATCATACTACCTTATGACAAAATAAAACTCTAGTTTCTCCCATTTCACTGCGCGTTGTCTTATAAAAGGTATTTGAAAATACCTCCAATGTTGTTCAAATTCTCCGATGTTGTTGACACTTTCGCGTTGCTCTGCCAAGCAACCGTACAGCGGGTGTAGCAAAGATTTCTAAGGTACGTGTGCGTTTTTCGCTCGCACGCTGCTAGCGCAATGACATGTTATCATTCGCGATATCAGGCCTAAAATCAATACGTTATTCTCAGAGTTTATTACGCTGCCTATTATTACTTTCCCAATAGCCATTGATGTTACATACACTGCAGTTCACAATACTACAACTATCTTAAAATGTAAACGACTATATTATCTGCTCAACACCCGTACGGTAGAAACGTGTGACGTCACCTAACCGATTCGGGCCGAAATTGCTTGGCAAACAATTCGGCATTGGCGCCAGATTACCAGATTCGCAGAGTTTATTTTGTCATAAGGTAGTATGATTATGCATGACACGAAGTATTTGCTAGTCTATTACTGGAGAAATTAGTGTGTAGATGCACATATTGTGGCTTTAATCTATCACACCATACATGCCATAGGGTATAGCGTTCATACCAACTTTTGTAGGGGTTTAAAATCATCTCGAGGAAGAAGGAGGATGAGAAAGAAAAAGAAGGCGAAGAAGAAGGAGAAGAAGACGAAGAAAAAAACCAACAGAGAGAATCTGCGAAACATCTGCACTGATGAGGCCCAATGTAATAACGAGCCACAGTGTACCAGTAGCGGCGACTATGAGACATTGCAGGCAAAGATGAATATTGTCACCAAGCTGTCGAGTAGCCGTTTTTTGGATGTCATTGCCGGTCAAGCAGCACCAACGCCACTTCAAAGTTTGCATATCACCATTGGTTATGAAGACTAGTGTGTTGGGTGGACAGGTATTGAGCAAGGTGAGTACGAGTATATGATTGCAACATATAGCTGTCCACATGTCATCATGGTCACATAGGGACACAGCTGTTCCTATGAAAAACATAAATTGGAACCAATTGACAATGTTTAAGACCGATTTAATTTAGAAATGACTATTGAATTGTAGAAATATGTACGTAATAATTATTATAGCTGGTGGGTTATCTATGGTATAAATACGGGTGCAAGCTAGATTATTTGTTATCCGTTCATTCTGTATGTGTTTCATGCAATGTCATTGCAGGTATATATCAGAGAGAGAAGAGGAATAATTGGTGCCAAGGTGCTAGGTCATAAAGCTGGGATTGGAGCATGCTAACTTTTTGGTAATTCAAACATCTTGCATGCAAATTTTTCATCTACATCATGGGTTATTCTAAATTTTCCTAAATTTTGTGGATTCATCCACTTCCAACTTTTCAAGGCAAAATATGGGGGTGCAACTTATACACGAATGCGTCTTATACACGAGTAAATATGGTACATTAAAATTATGTATTATAAAGCCTCTAGAGGGCGTGTTAGATTGTTGTCTTTGATGTGGTTACAGGACAGGAGACCCGGGACAGGAGAGGAGACTCATGACAGGAGAGGAGCCCAGGACAGGACAGGAGACCCACGACAGGAGAGGAGCCCAGGACAGGACAGGAGACCGAGGACATTACAGGAGCAACCAACTACCATTTATTGAGAAGCTGCAAACACTGCCACTCCTGAGTACTAGCGCGTGCCCACTTATGTACGAGGTTTTCGTCAGGCTGACAGAAGTTGTAAGTGTGTAAATCATTGATGCTAGAACTGTTGTATAAATGCACATTGTGTAAAACGTCAAGTTGTCTAGCTACCGTGTGTACATCGTTACTCAAATGCAAAGTCATGTTTTTCATTGAGTTCGGTTTTTAGACTTCAGCTATTCAGTAATCGAAATAGTTTAACAGATTTTTTAGTGACAAATTCTGAACATATGTTACTCATGGCAGTGGCAGTTGATAAAAGTTTTTAATTGATTGATCAGTAATAATAAGCCAGTTTTGCTTCGCGTGTGCCAGGGTGGGTGAGACAACACTTGGCTGGTCAGAGCATGGGAAATCGCACCTCCCCTCTCCCAAGAGCGTGGGAGTTAGGGTTGGGGTGTCCGGCTCGCAGGTTTACCCTGGCACAATCGCATCATATAATTTCACAAAATTGAAGCCAATATATTTTGCGTCTACTCGCCTATAATACTTTAATACTTCCCCTGATTTAGATATTATAATGAGTGCATAATAATGCTTATAAAGCTTTAATATTATTATTATCTGTGTTTTGGACATAATGAGTCAGTGGAGTAAATTTATCTGGCTAGGTCATTTTCAGCATCCGATTGAAGCACGCTGGATATTAGCGCTTACCTATATTACGTAACTCAGATGGTTTCGTTGTGAGACTCGTTGTGCTAATATAAGTGTCATAGAGACATTTCTTTTCTTAAAAGTAGCATTTTTCAAAATACATCTCATACTGTCATATAGATATATAATATTTTTATGCTTAGTAGCTAAAACTTCCCAAATGCTCTGCACTTTCTAAATGCAAAACTGGCTTATTAGTTTTGATAACCGTTGATAGTGTTGATGTAATATGATAAGGAATCAATTGACTAATAATTACTATTAATTTTATAATTGTGTCAATTGTAAAAATTGCAACTTGCTGAAAACTTTGCCACTAGGTGGCAGTTAGACTGAGTTATGGAAGTGCACTCATGGATGTGTATTTTCTATTGCATTTGTAAATGTAAATGTTTGTAATTTGTAAATTTGAAGTGAAATTAAATTGTAGGAGATAGCTTTTCCAGGTGAGCAATCGTGAGCGTGATCCGGAGCAAAATCGTGTGAGTAAAAGAGGGGTAGCGAAGGGGGGGGGGGGAGGGGGGAGGGGGTGGATTGGG